CCTACTTGCAAGGCAGGCGCTTATGCCGCTGAGCTAAATCCCCAGCCCCTAAAATGTGTTTCTTATATATAGCCATTGGACTTCGTTTCTTGATCCATCTGCTAGTTTGTAGCTTTTGATTGGCGCATTGAATCCACTCACATTTATAGATACTGGCTTATTCCTGCCGTTGTGTTATTTCCTGCCACTGTTTTCCTTTCTTTCCCTTGTACTTAACTGCTTACTCTACCATTCATTCTGTTGGACTTTTGTCATTGTTAGCATCATTGCATCTTCCTAGGTAATTGTTGAGAACTTTTCAGAATGTTGGTTTGGGCATCATGAACTTCTTCAGGTGCCCTTTATTATGGAACTGTCTTATTTCCTCAGTCTTGAAAGATACTTTTTCTGGCTGTCTCAATCAGGTGGAAGTTGTTTTCTTTTAGAACTTAAAATACTTCATTCCTGGGGGTTGGGGATTTAGCTCAGTGGCATAAGCGCCTTCTTTGCAAGCAGGCAGTTGTGAGTTCAATCCCTGGTACCGATTAAAAAAAACAAAAATACATTCCTAGCTCTCCTTGGGTTTAAGGTTTTTATGGAGAAGTCTGCTGTAATTCTCATGAGTTTTCCTTTGTAAGTAGATTGTTACTCTTCTCCAAAACCTCCTTTTAACGTTCTGGATTTGGTTGTTGTTGTTGGGTTTTGTTTTGTTGGAGACAGAGTGTTGCTATGCAGTTCAGGCTGGCCTTGGGCTCACTTTGTAGCCCAGGCTAGACTCGAACTTGCCACAATCTGCCTGCCTCAGCCTCCCAAGTGCTGGGATTACAGGAATGTGCCGCCACACCCGCCTTTTCTGGGCGTTTTTTGTTGTTGAATTTCTGATATTTTAATTGTGATGTGGTGGGCTGGTGATTTAGCTCAATGGTATAAGCACCTGCCTGACAAGCTCAAGTTTGGGGGTTTGATCCCCAGTACCAAAAAATTATGATATGGTATGTAGTGATTGGTTGATTTTGTGATCATGGCTATTTGGGATTCTGTATGCTCACTTAGTCTTTTCCACATCTGGAAAGTTTTCTGCTATTCCTTTTTTTTTTTTTTTTTTTTGTCTTTTTCATTTTTACCGGTACCGGGGATCGAACTCACAACCATCTGCTTGCAAGGCAGGTGCTTGTGCCACTGAGCTAAATCCCCAATCCCATTTTTTTTTTTTTTCTTGATACATGGGGATCAAACTTACAACCTTGCACTTGACAAACAGGCACTTATGCCACTGAGCTAAATTCCTGGCCCTCTATTACTTTTAAAACATTTTTTATGTACCCTTTGTGCTGTCTTCTGTTTTTTCACTAATTTCATTTATTCTTAATTAGTCTTCTTTGTGGAGCTGTTAGTTCTGTATTTCTTTTTTTTTTTTATTTTTTTGTCTTTTTCCTTTTTATTGGTACCAGGGATTGAACTCACAACTGCCTGCTTGCAAGGCAGGCGCTTATGCTGCTGAGCTAAATCCCCAGCCCCTAGTTCTGTATTTCTTGTTCTCTTGTTGTTAGGTCTCTTTTATTAACTGATCACTAATTACAGCTTTGTTTTCCAGATCTGACATTCTGTCCTCACATTGGTTACTTCTACCCATATTTTCAATCATATTTTTAACAAAAAACTCCTGGGTTTCTGTTTGAAACTTTTTTTATGGATTCCCATCATTTTCTATGCTGAGCATTCATGGTTTACATTTCTCTTTAGCTCTGTTAGATTTTTATTAGTGTCTTCTGTAGACTCACTGATCATTTCTTTTACTAGGATGATCACTTAATTATATGTTCTTTAAATTTGCTAAGCACATTACTAATCTGCTTTAGTACCTCCACTGTTTTGTTTTGGTTTTAATCTTTTTTGAGACAGGGTCTCACTGTGCAGTTCAGGCTGACTTTAAGCTCACCTTGTAGACTAGGCTGGTCTCGAGCTTGCAAGGATCCTCCTGTCTCAGCTTCCCAAGTTCTGGGATCACAGGCATTCACCTCTACACTCAGATTCTCCCTTGATATATTTTTAAGACATTTCTGCTATGTAGATTCTTACTTCCTCCTCCTCCTCAATCCTCTCTGGATTAGCTTTATAGGGGAATTGGGAGTTTGAGAGAGGCATTTTGTTACCTTACTTTCTCACATTTCTGGGATTTTTGTTGTTGATTTTCCATGCTGTGGTTTTCTGATTGATTATAGTGGGTAGCTTTTTTGCAGGCATCCTCTGGGCATGACTAACTATTGGATCCAGCTCGTTCATATATTTGGGAGAGGGAGTTTTGGGTTATTTGCCCTAATACTCAGTTCTTTGAGAATGACCCACAGGCAGTGAGCCATGTGTTTCTGACCCTCAGGCAATCCAGATATCGGCATACAGAGAAAACTAGTTGATAGCAATAGCTATGACACCTTGACTATAGTAGTAAAGTCCCTAACAACAGTAACAACAAATATAAACGATAGTGACAAACCTTAGGAACCACTCATGAACCACCCTTACATAAAGCAAGGAGAGCTGTGGTTTAGTATAGACACTGAGTGATCCACATATTGCCCTGTAGTAAATCTGACCACTGGCCTGTCCTAGATTAAGTAGCAGAGCAGGAGCTCCAAAGACAACTAGACTCAGTGCCATCACCTTCATTCAGATCCAGCCCCCTTAAAAAGCTAAACCCACCAAACCTGGTCTTCTACCAGATTAATGTCCCTCATCTTCCTGGCCAGATCTTGAGCATCTCAGGGTATCTATGTCTAGTTCCCACCTTTTCTTAAGCCTATCTCCTGTGTCTATCTCTCACCCAGTCTCTGCAATAGAGTACCATTTCAGTCTTGAAATGAAACTCTCCTCTGGAATGTTGGTCTTGTCCTAAGTCAGGTCAGACATTTGGCTGTCACCTTGCCTCCTTGTTGAGGAGAATCCAGGTGTAGAGAAGGCTAGAATTTGAAGTTTGACCCCAGGAGGTGGGATTCCTTGCTCTTCCTGATCATCCAAGGAGGGAGTGGCACTAATTGCCTTTATGAAGCTTAAATTGACAGTATTAATCAAGATACTTATTACGGAAATCTTCAAACAAGGTAAGGCATGTTAGTTGGTCAACCCTTTAATTATTCAACAGACATCTGAATACTTTTTAGTACTATAGAACCCATGTAATTTTGTTAATAAAACTTTTTCACATTGGCTCCCAAAGATTCCAGGGTTCCATGGCATTTTTTCTTGCCCTTTTTTTGCTGTTATTTTGTCTTATTTATTTTTTTATTTGTTTGTTTTGTAGTACTAAAGGTTGAACCCAGGGCCTCACACATGCTAGAAAAATGTTTTACTACTAAACTATATCGCCTGCCCTTTGTAAAATTGTATTTTTAGCCAGGCATAGTGGTATACACCTGTAATCCCTACACTCAAGAGGCTGAAACAGGGAGAATGCCATCAATTCAAGGCCAGCCTGAGTTACAAAAGCAAGTTCAAAGCCACCCTGCACTAAGAAGTGAGACCCAGTCTCAAAACAACTTAATTAATTAACTAGTTAATTAATTTAAAAAATCAAGTAAAATCGTGTTTTTATAAAAAAAATAAAATAAATTTGGTCCTACCCAAAGGACCAATATCCAGAATATATAGAATTTTTTAAAAAATCAACCAACCCCCCCCCCCAAATTTAAAAACCCAGTCCAAGCTGGGCATGGTGGCTCATGCCTGTAATTCCAGCACTTGGGAGGCTGAAGCAGGAGGATTGTTGCGAGTTTGAGACCAGCTTGGGCTACAGAGTGAACTCAAGGCCAGCCTGAGCTGCATAGAGAGACCCTATTGCTAAAAATTAAAAAAAAAAATCCAAAAATGGGCATCTGAGATTCCTCATAAAACTAGAAGTTACATTTGATCCAGCTATTTCCTTTGTTGATATCGTCCCAAGAGAATTAAAAGCATCATACCACAGTGATACTTACACACTCATTTTTATAGCAACACAGTTTGTAGTAGCAAAATCTTGGAAACAGTTCAAATGCCAATCAACTGACAAATGGATAGAAAAGATGTGTGTGGGGGGATTGTAATGATGTACTGCTCAGTCATAAAGAAGCATAAATTTGAGACTTCTATAGCAAAATGAGTGGACCTTGAGACCATACTCTTAAGTGAAATACATCAGATCCTTATGTGTAAACATTGCATTGTTTCTCTGGTATGAGCAACTGAAAGTGTAAATAAGAATCAAAATGTATAATAGATGTTGTGAAATAGAAATTGTTCAAAGGGAAGGGGAAATGGGAGGCGAAGAAAAAAATGAGGAAAAAAGGATAAAATGGAAACAAAGCTTTATGAATAAGGAGGGGAAGAGGGGACTTAAGATACATACAGGTGTGCCTAGATTCCCTATGATAAATGTGGTCATTATATATATATAAATTGTACCAATAAACTTAATTATTTAAAAAATTGTGTTTTTAGACAGGATCATAATAGTTTGCCTAAACTGACATCAGAATTTGTAATCCTCCTGCCTCAGCCCTCTTTAAAAATTGATTTTCTATCACAAGTTGAGTTTTTCCTTTTGTTTTTTAAGCAGGTTGTTATTCACAACTCCTTGTAATGGTTTAATTTGAGCTTAATGTTCCCTTGAAGCTGTTTTCATACAAACAATTATTAAGTTAAGTCTTATAGTTCTTTGAAGTGAGTTTCCTTAGGCAATCTTCTTAGCCTGTTTTGAGTTACTTTATATTTCCCTAATTTATATTTTAAAAATCTTTATCATCTATATTTCATTTTTGTTAATTGTTGACATTTTCTTCAAGTTAATCTGTAATTGAAACAAGTGTTGCTGGGTTGGCCCATATAAGCTGAGTACTGTACTTTCATATAGTTCCTTTCGTCAAAGAACTTCCCAAAAAGTAGAAAGAATGAACATACCCACATACTTCTAGGTTGTATGTTATAATTTCCCAGAAGTGATGTAGCTATTACTGAAATGGTCTCTGTTTCAATCTTTTATATCTTAGGGCAAAGAAAAAGGTGATTCCTGCACCCAAACCCAAAGTAAAGGTGAGTGTTCACCGAATCTTTTGTCAATAACAATTGGTGAATGTTGAAATACATTCTTGAAACAAGTAGGATGTGCAATATTTAGCAGAGATTAGGTACTAAATTGGTACTAAGTTTTCCAACTGACTTAGTACCTGGTGTAAAAATCCTACAACCTTTGTATTTGTGAGACGAGGTGACTGTGCAGCAATGGAAATTTGCAGACATTCAGTTGTAAAATATAACTTAATTCTGCTTAGAAATACTGGATAAAATATAAAAAATGTTATTTAAAACTGCAGCTGAGATTGCACATATATGAGAAGGTCTACGGTCAAAATGAAGGAGCTACCATAGCGATAATCTACTTTTGAAACTTTGGTTGCCTTTGAAACTCCTGTTCCTCACCTTGTACTTTCTTTTTACATTCCTTCTCAGAATAACAAATGGGGTTTTCTTGGGCTTGTACTGCTCAAAATTGAAATAAAGCTCAGTGAAGCTATGCCGTTAATGTATGGCATCTCTGGTAAAAGAAAGGATTAGAAAAAAAAAGTCAACCCACTAGCAGAGAAATTGTTATATTTTCTGTTGCCTCATTTCTAAATTGAGAAAAAAATCTTCCCTGAAAAATTCCCCTCGTCTAGGAGCTTAGGTTTCATTACCTGCACAGAGAAAACTCCAAGCTTATTAAGTAATTTAGAATTATTGGGATAATAATTCCCCAGGGCAAATAGAAAATGTAAATTCTCTCTGATACAATGTATCTGTGTCCAAGGCTTCAGAGGCTAACCTCCTAGAAAGCAGGCCACACATGAGCTGGGAGTGGAACTCACAGGAGAGAGCACATACTTGTCATGCACAGAGCCCTGGATTCACACCCTTGGCCCCAGCAAAAATGCATAGCTTAACAGTCTAAAATATATGGGTGCTGGGGATTTAGCTCAGCAGCATAAGCACCTGCCTTGCAAGCAGGTAGTCATGAGTTCGATCCCTGGTACCGATAAAAAGGAAAAAGACAAAAAAAAAAAAAAAAAAAAAGTCTAAAACATAGAATACATAAAGAAATGTGTTACTGTGATGAAAATCAGTAGAAAGAACAAACAGAATTAGATCCTTAACAGAAGGGCAAATTGTGTTTATTGGGTTTAATTTTACTTCAATAGAAGATTTTAAAATGTCATAATAGACAAGGTAGATTTGAAAGAGAAGCAGCCATAACCTCTAGAATATAACCTCTACATATAGTCATTTGAAATTTAATTTTAATAAAAGCGCTTAGGTTATAGACTTTTCTGTGTATCCTTCACCTCTTCAAATAGATGGGATTTCTTTTCTTTTAAGGTGATGGCCAGGTTACTGTGTGGCCTTTTCAATTTCTGGTACTAGAATTTTTTTTTGTTTGTTTGTTTGTTTTTTTTTTACCAGAGATCAAAATCAGGACCTCAGGTTGTCAGGCTGGCACTTATGTTGCTGAGCTAAATCCCGGCTGAAAACATAATAAATAGTCTTCTTTTTGTTAGCTACTTTGTTTCTAATCCAAGTAATGTGGAGCCCCTCTTTCATTAGGTCTCTTGTTAGGCCTCTGTTTTGACATTTAAGACCTCATATGTGCTAAGCAAGTGCTCTCACACTGAACTACATGCCCAGACCTTTGACCTTATTTCTAGCACAATAATAAACTTAATGCCCTTTACATATAATTGATTAGGTTTTTCTTATTAATTTTTCTTTTCTGAGTTTGGATACATCTATTGAAACATTATTAATAGAATTTAATTAGGAAATTTATCAGAATTCTGATAATGGATGGGTTAGATAATATGGGAGAACACCCAGGTTTTTGTTGGCTTTTTGTAATTGCCTTTTCCTTTTCTCAGGGTGACATGGGTATAGACTTTTCCTACCGTGTCTCCTTTGTAACATTGCTAGCTATGGTTGCCAGGGTTGTGCTGCTAGGCATGTGCCATAACACTGAGCTCTACTTCCAGCTCCCCTTGTGCTCTTCTCAATAATTCAAGAAAATACAAATAACACAGGAAAGGAGAAGAAAAGCAAAACAGTATAGGAAATTTCTCCTTAGAGGAAAAGGCTCTTAACTTTTTGGTGCGCATCTCCTTTCCCTTCTTCGTGGTCTTTCTTCTCTCCCTCTCATCCACCTAACTGATCCTTCATTTATTGGATAACATTCTACATAAGTGGAATAACCTTTTTTCTGACTCAGTTATTTATCCCAAACAATTTTTTCTGCCAGAGTAAGTCCACACGGGGGGGGGGGGGGGGGGGGTAATGGGATGTTGTTATAAAGAAGAAAATTATTAATAAAATTATTTAACATAGCCGTTTTATACTGGTAGTACTCCAGTATTATTGTGACACATTCCCCTACCTCAATTCCATGTTCTTTATTGAAAGGATTTTCACTAATCCTGTAACTCAGTGGTATGTTGAAGCAGACATGTCTGTCTCATCTGCTTTACCCATTCATCTGAGCAGACAGTTGTGACCTAAGTGCAATTAAACCCTGTACTCCTGATAGACATTGAAGTTTTTAGTGGGAGGGAAAAGCATAGGAAAAATGCTAAGGATGTTCAAGTGTGCCAGCATTCTTAACAGCTTGCTTACTGTTATGCCTTAGGAGGCGATGGTGAAGATGCTTCCTCTCCATTCTTCCCCCACTGTGCTTAAGGTCAGTGTTGTGGTGGAGAAGATGAGTATATTATAGGACACCATGAATGGGCTTGGGTTGCTTTTAGGAAACTACTTAAAGAGACTTTGAAATGCTTGTGCAATAGTTTTCTTTGTATTCTTAAAAATGAAAGTAATTAGATATGTTTATATTTCTTCTAAAATGTTGCTTTTTAATTTAAATGTTTCTTTTGTTTTTTGGATATTTTAAATTGTACTGCTCTTATTTCTCACTTGAATGTAAATAAGTTGATATTTTGAAAAAAATATACTCTTAGGTATTGAGTTTTAATTACTAACACTCTTCCTAGCATAAGGTGTTCCTCACAGTGAACATTTAATGAATACATGTTGAATAAATTACAAATGGCTTCCTCCATAGTTAGTAGAAACTAAGACTTAATCAGGCATCTACCAGTTAGATGCACGGGCTGCCTGAGGTCCTCTCTGTGGAGAGCTGCAGATCAGGGTAGAGTGATAGCAGTGCAAGAAAGCAGAGCGTGAAGGTCAGCTCCCTCCAAACCTCGCCAGACCAGCAGACCAGAGTCTTAATATCAAGGCAGAGTTTCCCTTGGGGTTCCAGGAAATGAAAAGAGAAGAGTGTAAAGCAGTGGTGACATGTCTGTAATTCCAGCTACTTGGAAGGCTAAGGCAGGAAAATTACAAGTTGGAAGCCAACCTGAGCAAAACCTTGTCTCAAAAGAAGGTAGGAGTGTGGCTTAGTGGCGGACCAAGAGCAGAGGATGTTAGACCTCTTTCCCAATATGCAGGAGGCACTGGGTTCAGTCCCCAGTACCACAATAAAAAAGAGAAAAGTCTCTGAGGAGGTGAATTTGGGGAAAATTGAAAAGCTGATGAGGTGGGCAACGGCAGTGCCATTAGTTCATAAGCAACATTGCTGGCCCACAGCTGTGCCTTTGGCCTGTTTTCAGCCGTTGTCTTAAAATGGCTTCCTAAGCATTGCCAAGTCAGTATGTCAGGTACTTTGCTTTGTGAGGACTGCTCCCCCCAATACTCTGTCCCATCAAAAATTGTTTTGGTTTTGGCATTCTCAGAATTTCCAGTAGAAAAAGTTCTAATTATCCTGAGAATGTCTTAGTCCTTTTAAAAACTGACTGTATATTCTTTTATTAACTGTTTGTATTCTTCTCCAATACAATGCTGCTGATGCTAGGAGTGTAGTCCAAAAAAGGACCAGAAAGCTCCTGCATCCTTGGTGGCATCAGCCAGTGGTCCATCCGCAAGCTCCAGCACATCCGTCGTTGCCTCTGCCAGCTCCAGCTCAATCCCAGCCCAGGAAACCATCTGCCTCGACGACTCCTTGGATGAGGACCTTGCTTTCCACTCCCCTTCACTGGATCTCGTTTCTGAAGCTTTAGCTGTCATCAATAATGGGAACAAAGGCCCAGCTGTTGGCTCAAGGATAAGCATGCCAACCTCAAAACCTCGGCCAGGACTGAGGGAAGAAAAACTAGCAAGTATCATGAGCAAGCTACCGCTGGCTACACCCAAAAAGCTCGATTCTGCTCAGACTGCACACTCATCAAGTCTTATTGCTGGTCACACAGGGCCAGTACCAAAGAAACCCCAGGATTTAGCTCATACTGGCATCTCTTCAGGCCTTATTGCTGGTTCTTCAATTCAGAACCCTAAAGTCTCCCTAGAACCTTTGCCAGCCAGGCTACTTCAGCAAGGACTCCAGAGGTCAAGCCAGATTCATGCTTCTTCCTCCTCACAGACTCATGTCTCCTCCTCTTCCCAAGCCCAAGTTGCTGCCTCCTCTCATACTCTGGGAACGTCAGAGGCCCAGGATGCTTCTTCGTTAACACAAGTAACAAAGGTGCACCAGCATTCAACTGTCCAACAGAACTATGTGTCTCCATTACAGGCCACCATTAGTAAATCACAGACCAACCCAGTGGTGAAATTAACTAATAATCCCCAGCTTTCCTGTTCATCCTCACTAATTAAGACTTCCGAGAAGCCGCTGATGTACCGCCTTCCCTTGTCCACCCCGTCACCTGGAAATGGTTCTCAAGGCTCCCACTCCCTGGTTTCTAGGACAGCACCAAACACCACTACCTCCACTAATTATTTAGCCAAGGCTATGGTATCACAACTAACCACGCAGGGTTTCAAGTCTCCCTTCTCAATGGCTGCATCCCCCAAACTGGCTGCATCTCCCAAACCTGCCACATCTCCCAAACCCTTGCCCTCACCTAAGCCTTCTGCCTCACCCAAGCCCTCTCTGTCAGCTAAGCCTTCAGTATCAACTAAACTTATCTCTAAGTCCAATCCCACACCCAAGCCTACTGTATCCCCTAGTTCCTCCAGTCCAAATGCACTAGTAGCCCAGAGTAGTCACTCCACCAGTAACAACCCAGTCCATAAACAGCCCAGTGGAATCAACATCAGCAGACAGTCTCCCACCTTGAATTTGTTGCCCTCTAATCGCACTTCAGGCCTTCCATCTACAAAAAATGTTCAGGCCCCTGCAAAGCTAACAAACTCATCATCCACTGGAACTGTTGGCAAGAACAGCTTGAGTGCAACTGCAGTGAATGTACCTGCCACCAGAGGTAGCAACCTTAACTCAAGCGGAGCTGGTAGGACTAATCTATCTGGGGGAACAGGAAGTGGAACACAGGGTGCTACTAAACCGTTGTCTACTCCACATAGACCATCCTCTGCCTCAGGGTCGTCAGTGGTAACAGCCAGTGTGCAGGTATGTATGTTCTAGTTGTTCATGTGCTGGGATGTAAGGTGGTACAGTCTCTCCTGTGAGTCACTCTTAAAAAGCTTGCTCTGTTTGGAAGATGTACAGTTTTTAACAGCTGGTCCAGCCGTGGTGTTCACCTGGAGTGTTCCTGATATGACGTCGCCTTGGGGTGATGTGGATTTTGTTTTTTGGGGTTTTTTTTAATCACATGTTTACCTGAACATTTTTTGAAAAATGCAACTAACTCTTTTACCAAAAGTAGTAACTTACGAGTTTAGCATACATTCCCTTGTTTCCTTCCTTTTCTCCTGCCAACTTTATTTCTTATTTATTCAAATTTATATATTCATGTTATTTTTCTTTAATTAACCTTCTCAAATAAAGTTATCATTTTGCATTAATTTTGTAGTTATTCATATATATACCTTTCTATGTCACATAGTGTCAGGAATCATTTTATACCACAGTTTTCCCACTCATGAATTTTTAATTTAAACGTTCCTCTGAATCAGCTGGAGTTCCTATGTAAGAGTAACCTGAATGTTCCTTACCTTAGCATTTGCATACCTGAGCCTTTCTTCTGATGCCACTGGAGTGTATGTAGACTGCTCAATCACTACCTGTTCTGCTCAGAATTCAGTAAATACTGCTCCACTGATTCTTCTTAGTATTTAGGACTATAGAAACGTCTGGGGCCATAAGGATTTTTTGTTCCCTTTTGTGAGTAATATGGCTTTTCTCCTAAATGCTAGTAAGTTATTTCTCTTTTTCTTTGAAATTCAAGTGTTCATAGACAATGGCTAGATTTGTCTAACTTTTGTTAATGTTGAGTTTCAGACCTGGCTATTTGATAGCTTAAGAATGTTTCCTTCTGGGGGCTGGGATTTAGCTCAGCGGCATAAGCGCCTGCCTTGCAAGCAGGCAGTCGTGAGTTTGATCCCTGGTACCGATAAAAAGGAAAAAGACAAAAAAAAAAAAAAAAAAATTTTCCTTCTATTACATGTGTAAGCATTATTCCGATTCACTTTTCCTAGGTTTGATTTTGTTTTGCTTTGCTTTGCCTTGTTTGTTTTAAATTTCTGAGGACAGGTTGTTGCTCTGTAGTTCAGGGTGGCCTTGAATTCCTAATGTAGTACAGGCTGGCCTCAGACTCATATAGACCCTCCTGCCTCAGTGCTGGGATTACAGGTGTGTGTCACCACGCTTGGCTTTCTGTTTTTAAGAATTCTGTGTTATTCATATATTTCATCACTCCGTCTTCTTTATTATCCTGTCTTACTGTTCTCATCTTCCTGCTTTATTTGTATTCTGAGACATGCTCAAATTTGTCCTTCACATTAATGATTTTCTTCATTTTTTTTTTCTGGAAGTAACATTAACTGTAGGAAAATTTAGTGAAAACCAAAATTATTCATCTCAACCCTATTTTTACTCTGCAGGTATTTTATTAGACTGCATTTTTAAGGAAGTACGTTTTACCTAATGTTTTATTTTATAACCAACTTTTAAAAAATACATACCACTTTATGATGTATAGGTTGTTAGGTTCTTAAGTAGTTCTTGAAAACATATTTGTCGTCTTACGAACTTGTATTGTCTGAGGAAGTGCTCCTTCTGTGTATGGAAATAACCTGTAGAGGAGTGGTTTTCCCCTTGCCATTGGGAGAGGTGCCCGGCTGTTCAGTGGAGTGCAGCATTTTTTATTTGACATGTTTAACACTCAGTTATCATTCTTCCACTTACATAGACTTAGGAATGACTTAATTCTAATGTAGAACAAACACTTCATGTACTGAAGTCTAGGATTAACCGATTTTACTTTCATCAGAGGGTCCAGGGGGTTTGACTCAGTGGCATAAGTGCCTGCTTGGCAAGCCCAGGGTTGTGAGTTCAATCTCCGGTACCAAAGGAAAACAAAAAAGACAGAATCCTTTCATCAGAAATGAGAAAGTTAGAACCAGACCAGATAGCACACCCTGTAGAGTAATTCCTATTATAGGAGGTTGGGGCAGGAGGGTCACAAGTTCAAACCCATTTTAGGCAATTTAAGGACCTAGTAGGACCCTGTCTGAAAATTAATAAAAATAAAAAGGGCTGAGGATGTAGCTCAGTGTGAAGGTTCTAGATTCAATCCCCAATACCAAAAAAAAGTCAGTTTTATCAGTTTTAGTACTGTATTTTCACTCCTTTGTCTCTGCCTCTCTCTCTCTCTCTCTGATACTTTTTTAATTATGAAAAATACTGCTTCCAGTTCTTCTATACTTGCCTGTACTCCTCAAAAAGTAATTATAATTTTTGGTTAAATATGTGACTTCATAAGTCCCTATTGGGCTAAATGTCATAACTATGGTTTTATTTGCTTTCTTCTTTTTTTTTTTTTTTTTTTTTTTTTGTCTTTTTCATTTTTATCAGTACCAGGGATCGAACTCAGGACTGCCTGCTTGCAAGGCAGGTGCTTATGCCGCTGAGCTAAATCCCCAGCCCCTTATTTGCTTTCTTATCATAAATTTTTAAGGGTTTTTTTCCTATAGTTAAAAGTTGTCTTTTACTTTTTTTAACTTCATTTTCTTTGAAAATAAGGTTAAATTTTCCTTTGTTCTTTTATCATTTGCAGAAGCCATCAGTCCTATACTATTCCCAGAAACAGTCCTGTATTTGATGATTTATCTCGACAGAACCCATCTACTGTCTAACAAATAGTTGTTTTTTAACAAGAAAGCTACAAGACAAGCTCTGTGTTTCAAGCACTCCCTTTTGGTTTTCCTCTCCTGCCAAGTGGCTTTATGATCTGGAGACCCTGGTTTTCCTACCTCCATCTGCAGTTTTTTCTGTCTTATGGTTTAGACTGAAGAAAAGGCCAGTAATTGAATAAGGACATTTATACCCTTTATGAACTTAATGTTCCTTTCATACCAGCGCAGCATCTCCTTGAAATCTTATCAGCTACTTTCTGGCCTCTGGCTCCTTGTCTGTAGCACCCAAATGAAAGCAGATTTCCCAGCTGTGCCTGCTTTCACCTCCTGTCTGCAAGGCATCTGCGGCTGTTTACACTTTTGCAGAATGAGACCTTTAACAAGACAGAAGTTAAAATCTTTCTGGGCTCCAGTCACTAGTTTTACCTACTTATTTATTTAATAACTGTCACCCCAGGGTTTCCTCCTATTTTCTTGCTTTCAGATTCCTGATTTTCTGGGAGTCCTGTCTGTTACTTTATAATCCCAAAGCCCACTCCTTGCTTCATGAGGTAAATGTGTATTGAGCAGCTCTGTGTGGCAGGCTTTCTTCTTACAGGTTCTGTAACTAGGGATGAGCCAGGTACATGCGGTCCTCCTCCCACAGAGCAGGCTTTGTTCATAGGAAACTAAAGTAAATACATGTCCTAAAAGCCATGGCAAGACCTGTGAAAAAAATAAAGCAAAGCAGGATAGAGCGACTGCAGTGAGCATAGGTGGGGGAAGTGGAGGAGGGCTCTTGAGGAAGGGGCACTCAGCTGAGGGTTGAATGACAGAAGCCAGCCACTTGTAGAAGAGGGGGATAGAGTAGCTAGAGACAGGGAGGGAAGAGCTTGGAATCAGTGCCTGAGGCAGCACTGTGGGAACGACCCAAGAGTCATGAGGACCTGGTAGGCTACAAGAGGACTTTGATTTTTTTCTATGTGCAACCAGAGAAATAATGGGCATGTTCTCCAAGATGGGAGTGGTGTGGGCTGCTGAATGTTTCAGAACACTGCTCCGGGTAGTGTAGAAACTGGACATATGGCTTTAAAAGTTTTAAGGTCCATGAGAAGAACAAGATTTCTCTTCCTGCATTTCCTGAGAATGAAATACAGAAATCATGAAAAATACTTTCGATCATGGGACAAAATCATGAACTGCTCCCCTGCTTCACATTGCCAGCTTCTTCTCTACACTGTTTGAGCGAGGTGCTTTCCACTTCATAGCCTCAGGCTCGCAGAGACCAAAAGTGTGGTGAAGGCGGAGCTCAGTGGTGGTGAGCACCCAGGTTAAGCCCTGTGCTGCAGAAACACAAACACAAGCCACGCAGAAAGTGTCCAGTGTTGATTATAGCATGGTATTGTTTTTTAATTGCTAATATTCATGTTATTTAATTTTAGAACTTGCCCTATTAGACATTTTTCCATCTACTTTAGTGCTTCGCTTAGAGTCCTCCAGACAAGTTTTAAGTTTCTCTTTTTAAGCAATATTTAGAGTTCTTTCCTGAGGACCTCCAGTTGGAGCACACAACCTTGGAGATTCTGTCATCTAAAGACAATTATGGTTAAAAAAGAAGCATGATAAGCCAGCTGTGGTGGCCATGCCTGTACTCCCAGCATTTGGAAGGCTGAGGCAGAAAGATAGGGAATTTGAGAGCAGCCTGGGCTACAAAGTGAGTTCAAAGCCAGCCCAAACTGAGTAGCAAGACCCTGTGTCAAAAAAACAAAAACAAAACAAGACAAACAGCGCTTGTTAATTTTTAAACTAATAGTAGCCTTTCTATCTTTGTTCCTTAAAATCATTATTTTTAACTTGATAATTTTTTCCTATATGCACCTACTCTGTATTATCCCTGGTGCAGTAGAACGAAAGAATATCAAATTAAGAAAGCTATTGTGGAGCTGGGGATTTAGCTCAGCAGCATAAGTACCTTCCTTGCAAGTAGGCAGTCATGAGTTCGATCCCCGGTACCGATAAAAAGGAAAAAGACAAAAAAAAAGCGCCATTGAGTCCAAACATAAAATGATAAAAATGTGTAATTAAGTGTAAGAGGAAGTTGTGCTTAAAGAAAGGAATTTGTCTAACCCAGGCTCCCTTATCTTCCACAAGAGGCCGAAAATAGGCTGCAAGACAGAGTGGTAGTTAAGATGTGGCTGGGGGTGGGGGGCGCGACTGCAGCAGGATGGGGACTCTGCCCATCTCCTAAGCTCTCAGATGAGAACAGACGTCCAATTGGAAATGCCGACAGTGACAGAGAGGAAGACAGGAGGCACTGGAGAGAGGGACAGGACCAGCCCTGAAGGTTCTGGAAAACACCCTTCGATTTCAGCTCAATGACAGCATGGACCTTGCAATACACAGAGCTGTCAGGCTGCCCATGAGTGCAGGGAAACCGGGCATTTTTCTTGGACATATAGAAAGGCATAGGTCCCTGTTTTTTTTTTTTAAATCAGTACTGGGGATTGAACTCACTGACCACCTACTTGCAAGGCAGGTGCTTATGCCGCTGAGCTAAATCCCCAGCCCCCATAGGTCCCTTATTAACTATAACACACAAACTAAAACTGACAAGTGCTATCCAGGGTTGTTTTTTGGTTTTGTTGGGTTTTAAGACAGGATCTTGCTGTGTAGTATAGACTAGCCCTGAACTCATTTATGTGAGTTCAACTCGAACTCATAGTGATCTTCCTGCCTCAACCTCCTGAGTGCTGGAATTTATCTAGTATTTGTTGCTGACTAAAAAAATCATGTAAGGAAGTAAGTTTTCCTGACCAAATTTAGAACTAGAATTATATATTTCTTGTTTGTTGTTGTTTTGAGATAAGAGTCTTGCTGTGTAGTTCAGGCTGGCCTTAAGCTCATTATGTGAATCATGCTAGCCTCAAACTTGGGGGGCAGTGCTCTTGTCTCAGCCTCCCAAGTACTGGGATCACAGGTGTGCACCACCACACATGGCTAGTACTAGACAATTTTTATCAGGAAAGTTTGAATTTGGCAAAATGAGACTACAAAGGAACATTCACAGTGGCAGACACTTTCAAGGTAATATCTGACATAGAGAATACTTAATGGTAAATTTGATAATCAAATTGGATGGCATTAAATCTTAGAAGAAGATTAAGTATATTTAATTAACTTAAGTATATTTAAGTAATTTCCCAGCTCATCAGTGTTCATATTTCTCTAAGAAGTTCTTTTTGTGCCTAAGCAGGGTCTTAGCCCAGGTGGAAGAATATAAAAACTCATTTACCTCTTACGGTAGAGACTATCATTTCAGAAAGGTAGTGGAAGGGAAGCCAGCTTTCAAGGATTAAGTAGCAACTCAGTAATGTGGAAAATGGAGCTTCCATCAGTGAGTTTGATAACAAAAGAAATACAAATAAATGAAATTGTTGCTAGGAGTTAGGGAAGCCTCAGGGTAGTGGTATGTTTGTAAAAAAGAGTAAGAGGTCCCATGTAAAAAGATAGAGAAGCTGAAAAGGTACCGTGCTAGCGAGCAGTACCACAAGTGGCAGTCAGCTTCAGGAAGTGGGAGGAAGGGTATCCTCTGGTGCTGGGATGAAGCTAGATGCTGTAGAGTGGCTCAAGGCAACCTTTGGCAGAACATCCACTGCTGGGAGGGAGCCAGAAAAGAGTACAAGGGACAGGAAGGTGGCAGAGCATCTTCCGAGTTCCCCTAGGTACAGTGGCATGGAGTTACAGTATCTCCTAGTAGCTGCTGAGTTCTGTGGTTGGAACAGAAGGAGAGAAGGGGAATTGTAAGGTGAAGAATTAGGCCAGAGGAGCGGCTGACTGCATGTTACGCAGATAGGAAGGAATCTGTGATGGCGAATTAGGCCATGAGAGTGGCTTGACTGCATGTTACACAGTTAGGAAGGGATCTGTGCTGGCAATGAAGAGCTGAGCCTAGAAAGATTCCCAGATGTAATTTCAGATCTTTGAAACCAATTTTGGGAGCTCTTTGAGATTTATTTTCTCGTCAGTCTTAATTGTTTTGTTAAAACAGATACATGACACTATCTTACCACCAAAAAAAAAAACTTTGCATCCATGAGGGTATTAAATGAAATTAGTCAGTTTAGGTGAAAGACTTTCTTTCTTACCATTTTGACCCCTGGTTTCTGCACAGTCCACAGCAGGAGCATCATTATTGGCTAATGCCTCACCTCTGACCCTCATGACATCACCCTTGTCTGTAACAAATCAAAATGTGACTCCCTTTGGGATGCTGGGTGGCCTTGTTCCAGTGACCATGCCCTTCCAGTTTCCCTTGGAGCTGCTTGGCTTCGGAACGGACACAGCTGGAGTGACAACCACCTCGGGATCTACCTCAGCCGCCTTCCACCACAGCCTCACTCAGAGTAAGTCAGGCTCTTCACTTGCTTGCTGTTTAGTGGCAGAGCAGGGGCTCAGGAACTGAAGAAGGACAGTTTTTCTTGTCTATGACCAAATTATGGGCCCTAGGACTCTTATGTGTACATCAAAATGAACTAATGAGCCACCTATACCAACTTGCATCTTAGTGAAATTTATAAAAATAGCCAAATTGGTTGGATTCTCTACTTACATATACAACCACTGCATTGATAGGAGGAACAATTGTTTATGATTGTGCTGTGGTTTTAGAAGGCCTTGGAAGTCAAGCCTTAGATAAGTAGCATTAGATAAGTATGTTAAGGTGGATTTAAGAGGGCTCACGTTTTAAAAATCACTGATAAATCTGTTTTCCCTTCAGATTTACTAAAAGGTTTACAGCCAGGAGCTCAGCACGCAGCAACACTTTCCCACTCACCTCTGCCTGCACACTTACAGCAAGCATTTAATGGTAAGAAAGCTACCTCTTCCTTATCTCTTCATTGTTTACTGGGTTTGTGGATATAAATTATATTATATACTTTTTTGAAAATGGTATGGAATGATAGCATTTGAAAAACACAATTTTTTGTGTGGCTGAATTCTCACTGGCAACAAAGTCCTTATAAAAGAAAACCAGCCAGTGAGGTCTTCTGTTCATAAAAGTCTCTTTGAAGGTGGTTTCTGTGTGGAAGTGATGACTAAGAAGGGATCCATGAAAGTTATGTACTGCTGGGTGTGATGGTGCACACCTATAATTCCAGCAACTTTGGGAGTCTGAGAATCACAAGCTGAAATCTAGACTGGGCAACTTAGACTCTGTCTCAAAAAAATAAAAAATAAAAATAAAGGACTGGGAATAGACTGTGAAGGTTCTTGGTTCAATCTCTAGAACTGGGGAGAAAGTAAAAACTTGGATGCAGGAACTATAATAATTTACATTTACTGAAAGCATACTAAGTGCCACTTGGTCTTGTAATAGCTTACATGTTTGAGCTGATTTAATCCTTAAAGTAGGCTCAGGAATGATAGATAACCATGCCCATTTCACAAATCAATAAACTGAACCAGCAAGATAAGCAGCTTGCCCAAAACAATACACTGTTGTTTGCTCTCCATATATTAAACTCAAGAAGCCTATATTCATTTATTTTTTGAAGTGCTGGAAACTGAACCCAGGGTCTTGTGCACTCCAAGCACAAGCAGTAAGCAGTATACTATTATGCACGAACCTGGCTGGACCTCAGCAATTATAAATTAATGTGACCCAAATTATGCATTGCACACTCACAGCCCAGCTTTCCCACTCTGGAATCAAGGTCTGAAAATTTGTCAGAGAATGGGTGCTTGGCAGCCCGCAGTTTCCTGCTTAGAAAGTAAGTCAATCTCTATAGATCACACCTGTGCTCTTCTGGAGGCCATTTCCCCAGTCTTCTGAGGAAATAACTTCTCAACTGCCCTCTTGACTTTGGAACTTACTAGTGTCTCACTGTTCTTTTTGGCCATTGCATTAAAAATAATCTTTGACCCAGTTTACCACTGACCACCATGCAATGATGGGGACTTGCAGCAATCTTGAGGCCACTAGTTGTCATTCATCTTCCAAAAGCCCTTTGGTCAATAGAAGCAAGACGCTCTAGGACACTGTTGCACAGCATTGCTCCAGTAACAGTTACATACTGCACATCTCAAAGGAGCCAAGAGGAAGGATTTTGAAGGTTTTCATCACAAAGAATTGATGAATGTTTGAGGGGGTAAATGTTTAACCTGATTTGAGCTTTACACAGTGTATACATATATCAGACATTACATGATATCCCATTAATATCACAGCTTTTATGTTTTTGTCAGATTGAAGTCCTATGGTAAGCTCCCTCAGACTCATCCTTGAGAAAATGAGTTTAAACCACAATCAGGCAAAATAAGCCATATAAAGTAAACATCAGTAATTCTGATCTTCCTGAACTTAACTAGATTTAAAATCAATAAGGGAGCCGTCATGATGGTACACACTTGTAACCCTTACATGGAAGAGGCTGAGACAGGATAGTTACCTCGAGTTTCAGGCCAGCTTGAGCTATATAGTGAAGTAAGGCTATCCCAAACTATCTAGCAAGATCCTGTTTCAAACAAAAAAAAATTAATAAGGTAAATTGTTCTGTAACAGAAGTGGCCTCTCTGAGTGTGGACAACTGCCAGTGGTATGAGTCCAGCTGACAACCATATGCTCATGGGCAGAGATAGGAAGGGACCCCCTGCAAGGAACTAACTTCGCAGGATCCTTGTGGTTCTAAAAGACCCCTGGATTCCAGCTGTTTTGTTGTTATTTTAGTTTGCTTTTTGGCTTGTTTCTTTTTGAGCCAAGGCTTTGCAGTGCAGTTCATACTGGCCTTGGGCTCACTATGTAGTCCAGGCTGACCTGGAAGTCCAGCAGTCCTGCTTTAGCCTCTGGCGTGCTGGGATTACAAGTGTGTGCCAGTATGCCTGGCTCCATCTCTTGGATAAATTATTTTGCTGTCTGGTCAGCACTACTGTGCCATGAGAAAAGAAATACGACTTCTAGTCTTTTTCAAATAATTGAAGTTTAAAAGTTGACAGCGCCTAGGGCCGGGGATTTAGCTCAGGGGCATAAGTGCCTGCCTTGCAAGCGCAAGGTCGTGAATTCAATCCCTGGTACCACAAAAAAAAGTTGGAAGCACAGGATTGTGAGTTCAATTCTCAGTATAGAAAAAAAAAAAAAGGTATATTGTTACACTGGGTATGGTGGCACACACCTGCAATTCCAGCACTTGGGAGGCTGAAGCAAAAGAATTGCTGCAAATTTGAGGCCAGCCTAGGCTACAAAGTGAGTTCAAGGTCAGCCTGAGTTGCATAGTGAAACCTTGTTTGAGGGGCTGGGGATTTAGCTCAGCAGCATAAGCTCCGGCCTTGAAGCTGGCGGTCGTGAGTTCAATCCCTGGTACCGATAAAAACTGAAAAAGACAAAAAAAAAAAAAAAAAAAAAAAAAAGAAACCCTGTTTGAAAAAGACAAAAAAAGAAACAGTTTAAAACTATTAGTTTAAAAAATAACTTAGAATATAAAACTTTGAATTTGAGTCAGTACCGATAAAAACTGAAAAAGACAAAAAAAAAAAAAAAGAAACCCTGTTTGAAAAAGACAAAAAAAGAAACAGTTTAAAACTATTAGTTTAAAAAATAACTTAGAATATAAAACTTTGAATTTGAGTCAGGCTTGGGTTTTTAAATTCCAGAATTGCCAATTTGAGCAAGCTTCTTAACTTTAATCATTTCTCCTGCCTTTAAACTGAAGACATGAAGATGTTTCTAATAGACTTCTCATGGGAAGTGAATAAAAATAACAGATTGAAAGCTTCTAGCAGGACACTTGGTATATAGTAAGAAATCAATTAATGTTAATTCTCAATCTTGTTTAAAACAGAGGTCAATAGTTTTTTTTTTCTGCAGAAAATTAACTTTGATTGCATTATTAAAATAATCAGACTATATAAACAAATGGGTTTGACTGAGTTGAAATGCAACTTTATTTATACAAACAAGTGGAGATTTGGCCCTCGGGCTATAGCTTGCCAAACTCTGGTCTAGAGAATTTTACAGTCCAGTTAATACAAGTGTTTTATTTTGTTAATCCAAAGCTTTTTTGAGCAAAATTCTCTATGAAAAATGCCTTAATTATACCCATAATCCCAGCAGTCAGGAGGCCAAAACATTCGGATCATGCATTTGAAGCCAGTTTGGACTACATAGCAAATTCCAGACTAAACTGGACTACATAGACCCTGTCTTTAAAACAAAATAAAAATGGGCTTAACCTTACTTTGATGAACTTAATTATACCACAAGTCAAATCATTTTCCTCAAGAAATGTAGATAGATATCGTCTTATAAATTAAAACGCCTTTTATGTCACCAAAGTTACTCTTTTAGACTTTTTACCAAAATTATTTTAATAGTATCCTATTTATACAACTTTTGAAATAATCTTACTTCATTGATACAGCTTTTATTCAAAAGATAGTCTTTTGTTTTGTTATGTTTTGGTTTTACGTTTTTCTAAAGAAATTCAGGTGATCACCTGACTGGACCTGGCCACGTGACTTCTGTGGCTTCTTCCAGCCTTCAGCTTCTTATTATACCACGATACAGTAATTTGTTCCTTCCTGCTGAGTGTAGTGATGCACACCTGTAATCCCAGCACTCGAGAGGCTGAGGCAAGAGGGATCCTTACAAGTTCGAGATCAGCCTGGGTTACAAAGTGAGCCCGAGGCCAGCCTAAACGGCATAGTGATACCCTGTCTCAAAAAGACAAACAGTGAAAGTAGTTTGTTCCTTTGGCTGTGGGTTTCTACCATCAGGGCCTTTTCCCTTGAAGCAGAGCCTTCGTCTCTGGGAGCTTCATCGTACTTGCTAACTCTAACCCTTAGAGGTTTTCCTTGTATTCTGATGGCTCTTAGGTCATTGGGTCCTACACTTGCCTCTAAGTATTCGTTTTTCCTCCCCTCTCCCAGTGTGTCTAGGTGATTTGACTGAGGTTTAAATGGAGTAATCAACACTTTTCCCATAAACAGTGAAACAGCAGAATGTAGAAATGGAAACCATTATTCCTAGTAGCAGGCTTACATCTCTTTCACTAGGTTGGACCAAAACAAAAATGAAGCTGGGTTTTTTCCCCACCAGTGTGCTACACTCATTTACTCTGCTACTTGAGCATTATGGATAATTGCTATCTCATAGCCAAGAAAATTGAATTCCACATAGAAAAAAAATGAAACTGACCTTGTCTCCCAAAGGAATCAAAAGGTGTGGTATGATGGGTCCCTCAGAGATGGGAGTTGTCTTTATGGAGCTTTGGCACCCTGGGACTGAAACTAGATGAACTATAGTCACTTGAGATAGTAGAATCATTGTTGAGTTTTGAATATTTATTTTTTATCAGCCTCTGTAACAGTACACAGCATGTGAAATATTAAAGATTATCTTTTTGGAGCTGTCTTCCACATTAAAAAGTAGAAGTAGTTGTTCTTTTCACTTTGTTTTTCTTACCTGTTTTTCTCACATGTCAAACGATATCTATTTAACATCTTTTTTTCTCAGATGGAGGCCAAAGTAAAGGGGACACTAAGTTACCACGGAAATCTCAGTGACTTCCCAGCGAGCAGAGACGAAATGTGTAGCTGGCTGATGGGATCTACCTGATGGGAAAGTCCTTATGTGGTCACAGGGCTGCTGTTTCTGTCGATGTTTACATTCTCGTCCCAAGCACTGTGGTGAGGAGGAAAAGGAAAGAAAATGTTACTTGAGCAATGCCAGGTGCAGGAGGAAGAAACACTTTGTGCAAAGTTAGTGACCTTTGGTCTCTCCTAAAGAAAGACAGAGTTACTATGTTAACTGACTTGAAAGAGACTCAGCTGTCAAACCCACAGAAGTACAAATTTGATTTTTCCCCAGGGGAGGAAAAGGAAATTGAAAGGATTTGGGTCAGTGCCATCCATCCTGGGGGTTGGATCTGAACACTTGTAGACATAACCACATAATAAAAGCAGTAGCTCTTACATTAGGCCAGTTTGTCAGGAGTAATGACCATGTCTGCTCAAGTGAATAGTGTAGCAGATTTGCCACAAATTGAGTGAATAACCTTATGCCTGCTAACAGATAGTAGCTTAAGAAATACTTAGCCTCAAACATCCTGAGCAAACTTGAATCTTTCCCAGTATGTAGCAACTCTGTAAATCAGTGGACTAAAGATGTGTCAGGAAATGTACTCGAGCACAGTGATATGTATTACTAAATCATCTAGATTTTTAGAAGTCAAGAAATCGAGCCTGTTACTCTTAACAGACAAAACATAATGTCCCCTTTTTGTGAAAGGGTCAGTTTCATCTTCCATTTAGAAGCAGGTACTTAACTCTTCTTCAGGTGATTTATGCACCTGGTATTTACTGGTTAATTTTTATTTCTAGTCTTGATGTTACAATGTGACTGTGTTCACATTTTTCACTTGAGAAATAGGAATCTTTGTTATTGGGCTGCTGTTTTCCTGCTCTTCACCCTGGCAGGCCTCCTAGCAAGAACTGTGAACTTTCCTGGCTCGCCTCACTTTACAAGTTCACTTTCTGTTCTTTTAGCTACTGATACTTCAGGTGATTGATTGTTAGCTGTTAATAGAAACAGGTAGAAATGTATACTACGTATATTTTTTCCACTGGTCATCAAAATAACATATATATGTATAAAATTTCTGGGTTTTGGTGATATTTTTGAGGGAAAGAAATACATTAGGATCATTATATATACAAGGATTGTCTTTTATAACAATCACAATCTAATTTACCTTCCTATATTCATGTAGTGAAATTGTTTGGAGCATTTGGGATCTTAAAGCTTTACCAATATTTACTCAGAGTATTGATAATATCAATAAGCCTGCAGATAATAAGTTCCTTAGTTACTATAGCTTCCTTATGCAAATCATAGTTAACAAAGGAAATTAAGGGGAACATTTATATCTGTCTTTGGATATATTTCATTTTATTTTGCCTCAGCATCATTGTGGTATCTCTTAGAGTTTTAAACTTGTGAATAATTTCACACTATACCCAACAATTGTATGAGCTCTTAAAAGTGTAACTTTTGTCTGTTTATATAACAACAAACACCCCTACCCACCCCAAAAACAGCACTAGGCTAGTTGTAGCAAGGGTTCTCTCATACTTCATTATATATTACCCTATGGCATTAAGTTTATTCCAAAAATAGTATTAACCAGAGGGGTTTTTTTCCTCTTATAAGTAGAAGTTCTAAATTGCCTACAGGGCTATAAATAATCACAGATCTACTCAGATCTGTATGCCTATATTTTGACACATTGGCTTGCTTCATAGAAAAAAAAAAGGCAAGTAACTGAATTCTTCAGTTGTAAGAACTTGTTACCATGAAAGAACATGATTATTTAAAGGAATCATTGATGGATACTGGGATGTTGCAGAGATTTGACTTGAATTCAGTATGTTTGATTAAGATTCATGTTGTTTTTTAATTAGGGAAGCGTCTTCAAGTCTGATTTATTTGGGGAGCAGAACTCTTATGTTTGCCTTTGCTAACCTTAGCTGGGCTGGTGGTGGAAGTTGTCTTTTGGAAACGTAGCCTTTGATTTACTACTTATGCCAGGAGTAAGGTCAGAGTTGCATATTAATCTCTCTTCCTGCTGATGGGTGTACATGTGTTTATCTTTGTGTGTGTATGTGTATACACACATGCATGTTCATATAAATTAATGGTTAGTATGTCAAAGAATAATAATATTGTAATTTCTTAAACCCATCAGTTCTGAATCATGCTAAATGCGGATCTGATGACTCTGAGTTTTTTGTCATCATTAGGGATTTAATAATTCTGCCCTAGTGTCATTTTATATGAACTGGTCACAATACTTGAAGGCCCTTGGCTCTGCAAATACAACATAGAGATTCTGTCTTCTCCTAGAGGACTGCAGTCAGATCCCTGCCTCAGCACCACCACCCCCCATCCCTTTTTCACAGATCGGTTTATATGCATCTCAGTCCAGACCCTCCTTTGTGTTGTACAGATGGGAAATGGGGCAAAATCCTTGTCTTTCTCCATAGATAAAGTATAATCAGAGTTTCTACATGTAAATACAACTTATTTCTTTTCTAGAGCATAACATTAAAAATGGTGTCCATACTTTATGGTCATCTGTCTTTACAGTTTTAGTACTAAAAAACAAACATGTAAATTGGTTATTTTTTAACACAGAGACTTGACTCATACTGTATTTTTGCACTTAAATTATGTTATTTTTAAAAATGGTGATTGGAAAGGATATCTATAGAGCAATGTGTATTCTAAAGAGCATTAGCAACATCCAAATGCAAAAGTAATCAGCACACTTAATTACATCCCACTTGGAGGGATTCTTGATTCAGGAAGATTAAGTTATTTGTTTCCAACTGTCTTATTTTGAAATTGCCTTCACTAATATATAAGCTGTTACTGTACATACAAGTTAATCCTCAGTATTCACAAGCAATAATGGTCAGCAGAGCTGTCCTCAGAGATAGCCGTGCTGGACCTCAGTTGGAGACTGTTTGGGAGCAAAGTGTCAAGCTCATGCAGAGCCTCCAGATTAAATGCAAGCAATAATTTACATTGTAAGTGAATTATAATTCTTTCTCATATGCTTCTGAGATCAGAGGGTAGGAAATCATGATTTTTAAAACAGCCTGAAGAAAATTATCTGGGGAAAAAAAGTGAGATTAATCTACAGTCACAAAACCCTGATACATTACTTTGAGGAAATAAGAGAATTGGGTCAGTACATTCTTTCATGCCCACCACCCCTCTGATGGATGATATCAGCCCAAATTCCTTTGTTTTGTGTCATTGACACTGAATAGGGTTTATGGGATCACCAAGGTAAGGGGAAGGTCCATGTTTGGATACTGTGGGTTTGACACCTGTTTGAAGACAACTTACTGGAACTGATTCTTAAGCCAGGATATTCTTCTTTTCCCAAAGCAGATCCAAATTGTTTACTACCCAGGAATGGAAAGGGCAGGCAGCGCTAGTCTCTGTCTTCTAGGTTGCCCTCTCCCATACCCCTTTCCACCTTGACTTGGATTCAAGACATTCTCTGAAATGAAAGTTCTACTGTTACTTAAACTGCCATTGATTATGAGAACTCTTTGTCTTTGGGATCATCTCTAGAACTCCAGTTGATCTATCATATTTGCTGCTACATTTGAAAAATGAACTTGGCCCATATTGGTTGACTTTAATTTACAGTTCTTTATTTCCAGGAGTTTTTGTCATTATAATTTGACCCATGTATAGAATTAGGATACTTTAAGAAGTGTATCATAAAAGCACACTGGTCCCTGTATTGTTACCATTTATGTTTTGAATTTGTTTGCTTTGTTCTTTGGTTTTTGTTTTGTTTTTCAAGTTAGAAATAGGAGAATGAAAAAATTCTATAATCAGGCCAAACTTGAGAACTTTCCCTGCGTCAGCCCCATGGTTTCTGCTGACCCTCGTTCTCAAAGGGGCACTTTGACTTCTATTCTGCATGTATAATTTTTTGTTTGGAGGGGGGCTTTTGATTTTGTAAAAATGAAGCAGAAGTGCAGTGGTAGATAAATGACTGATCACAGACGTTATGCAATTTTATTTTATAAAACTTTAAGGGAAAAGTTTAACTCTTTGTAAATAATTTCTTAGCTCTGGTAAATGCTTATATTACTCTAAAACATGCTCAATTCAGGCCTTTGTCTTTGTTAAGTGCCTTTTATTTCTTTCTTTTCCCCTCTTTTGAAACTGTTCTCAGATACCCTACGTACATATTATAAGTCAGGGGTTTCAAGAGGAAGAATCTCAAGACTTACAACGTCATATCATGCTGTAATACTCTTCCTTTCCTTTGTGTGTACATGGGTATGTGTGTAAGGTACATATCACATCCATATGAGACTAGTAGCTGCTGTACCACTGTGTCCTTTCCAAGCCCTGTCCTTCTGTGTTTGAGAAACTTCGGCCTTGTTTATTCCATTGCTTTTAGTTCATTAAATTGGGAAGATTGGGAGATTTTCTTACCACAAGATGCTCTCTTCCCCCGTTGAATAATATCTGCTTGTAGAAGTTGACAAATATATGTATGTGTGTGTGTGTGTCAGTTATTACAAGTAAAATAAATTTAGTGGACTCATTATCCCTGGATACAACCCACTGCTCTGTACCCTTTGAACTTGGCATAAGTAATTAAGACAAAGCATTGGAATAACAAGAGTATCTTGCAGGGCAAGTTGATAGGGCCAGGTGCACTTTGGCAGGGAAGATTAAATACATGGAGGAATAGAGTTACAACCATGGCATGGTGGTAAGAATTTATCTTGTAGGAAGTTAGCAACTATGTCAGCTTTTAAAAAGTATCTACCAGGTATGATGGCATACACCTATGGTCCCAGCACTTGGGAGGCTGAGGCAAAGTAATCACCATGAGTTCAAGGCCAGCCTGGGCTACGTGGTGAGTTCAAAGATAGCCTGAACCAAGGAGTGCGAGAGTCTGTCTCAAAAAAAAAGCGAAAGTAAAAAATATCGTACTTCTTCTGGAAAATGATTTGAAAAAATCATGTAACTGCATATCTACTAAAAATATGAGTAAATCAAAATAGACTTCAAATAGTGAGGAAAACGTTCATATGATCAATAGCATTCTTGAGAGATCTTCAGCCTTACTTATTTGTATTTGCCAGATAATTACCTCTGATGTTATGGTGGTTTGGATTTCTCCCTTGAGCAAAATACCATAATTTTCAATATCTAAGATACATCTGTTTCTTGTTGAAAACAGATAGGTGTGACATGTTAAAGGAGGCTAAGTTGAACCAATCCTCAAAAGTAGTACAAATTTATTTTTTAAAAATTACCCCCTGTTGGGGCTGGGGATTTAGCTCAGTGGCATAAGCGCCTGCCTTGCAAGCAGGCAGTCGTGAGTTCGATCCCCAGTACCGATAAAAAGGAAAAAGAAAAAAAAAAAAAAAAAACTACCCTCTGTTAAATAAGATTTTGATTTGGAGCAGGAGATTGGTGGCTAAAAGTACAAAACAAAACAGGTCCTTGGTAGCAAAACTCTTGTCAGGCAGTTAGACTAATGCCTAAATTACTGCATCTAGGGGGAATATCATTTAACCTTTGTGCCTCAGATTAGCCATGGGATAATTGGATATATAATAATGTTCACCTACCTCCCAGGAATGTCAAGAGACTTTATTCAAAAATATTTTGAGTTATTTCGAAAATATTCATACAATGACCTATATAATTAAAAATAGTATTATCTTCCTGCAGAGGCTGAAAAATGTTTTCCTTATGGGTATAAAGAGCAACCTATGATTTTTAAGTTCTTTTAAAAAATCACTGGAATTCTAATTTAGATACATATTATTTAAACATACTCTATTTGTGGTGGGATAAAATGGTTAGTTTCAGATTAACAAAGTGGGATGGGAATGGAGAGACACGTAATTTTCTTAATTATAAGTGGATTTTTTAAACTTTCTATGGTGGTATTGTTTATGTGATGTTTGCCAAGATTGTGGAATCTGAAGTTAGATGAAGTTTGGGAGATTGTTTGTTAGAATTGATAAAGGACCCTGCAAGTTTTATCTGCCTGCCTTTTCCATCTTCTTAATTTGCTGACATTACCTGTTGGTGATGGGTAGCTAAACTTTTAACTTGGTAAAAAGGAATGGGAGTCTCCTGTTCATAAATAAGAGAGGCACAGGCTGTCCCCTACCTCTAGGGCTCCCAGCCTTGCTCTGAGGAGCCCAGCTGCTCATTGCCAGGCCAAGAGTGACCCACAGTTGCTCAGGCTGCAGGAAAGTGGAGAGAAGAGGCGGCTTCACTTCCTAGCTGGGGCAGGCAGCAATGGGTAGAGTAGAAGGAACTATGGTTTCCCCAGCTCACAGAAGGAAATGAAGATCCCACCCACCTTCCTTTTTCTGTGTACTGAGTTGCCCTTTCCTCCTTCCCCCACTCATTTTTTTTCTTTCTTTCTTTTTTTTTTTTTTTTTTGGTACCAGGAATCAAACTCATGATCTCTTGCTTGCCAGGTAGGCACTTGTGCTGCTGAGTTAAATCTTTGACACCCCCCGCCTTTGTTTTGTTTTATTTTCATCTGTCTCCCTTTTCTCATGTAAAACAAGGAGAAGAAATGGATGCTGTAACTTTGGCTAAGGCTAATACTGGAGGAGGGATGTGAATGTAAATTGTAGCAAATATTCAGAGTCAGGGAAGAGGAAGCAGGGAGCTGAGGAGCAATACCCGGCTGAAGGCAGCTAGGAGGGACAAACCGCCCGGCCCCGCCCGGCCCGTGAGCATCTGGGTCCTCCCAGAGTTGGAGAAGGCCTGGTTGCTCTCTAGTGATGTGATTTTTAAAGATGACTCTTTGGGCTTTTCTTGCTTTTTTCCAAATAAGGCCTTAGTTAATAGCCTCTAAACACCAGCTATGCAGATACATATACTATTTTCCACATTTCCATCTTCTTCCATTTCTCAAATAACAAGAATTCTACCCAAAGAAATAAGACATTATGATTTTGTTGATTATATGTTTGTTCCCCTAGAGAAAAGTAACAGAAGAGTAAACTAGACATATTTTGTGTGTTCATCTGTCCTAAAATGTGAACTTCATATTGAGAAGCTAACTACCTACATCCAGCCTTTGACAAGCACAGAGCCGTGCTGTGGCTTGTAAGGGCACGGTGGAACACCCCAGGGTTCGGCTGGAGGAGTTCTGGGCGTCGTGACACGTTGTTGTGGTTACAGAGCTGCCTGTGTAGTCAGGCTCTAGAAACAGTATGATGGTTAATGCTGGGTCCATCCTGCGTTTCCTTAGTCGCCGTCTTTCCTTTGGTGTGAGCTAATGCTTCATTCCCCGTGTCACCAGCCAGCTGCCCCACAACACAGTGAGCTGTGTGTGGTGAGCACCTAGGAGGAGGTGCACGGTCTCTCAGACCCTCTGGGCTCCTCTGTCCTTGTCCCCCTGGAACTCTAGGATACAGCCTACAGTACAGGAGATTGTTTACATCCTGGCCTACTGTCTCGCAGGTAGGGCTTCCTGAGGCATCTCATGAGAATGCCTTTGAATAATTTGATATTAAATTACATTTTTCTCATACAGTCCCAGAGTGCCATTTGCTTGAAAATAGCTTTTTGTGATATATTCCATTATAGTATTTCTACTTCTCAGCCTTGCCTACACATTACCATTTCCTAGTTAGTATTTCAAGCTTGGACACTTCTTCAGACTATTATCCAGAGATTGTGAGACTGAAATCTCAGCCGTATAATTAAGAACCTCTGTGTCCAGGACTTAGTCGTCCATGGTGATCACTAATGACTGACATTTTCTTTTCCTTTGTATGAGGAAAAAAAAAATAGATTTTGTGGGCTAGCAGTGTAGCTTGAGATCACTGGCCTAGCATGCTGAAGGTCTTGGGTCCCCTCCACAGTGCCATCAAAAAACATAGTTTTTCATTACTGCATGATGTGGTAATAGCGTGTTTGTGGCTTCCTCCTGATATTTCAGGGTTGTTCACAAGAGATACAGGCCTTCGTTAGGGGCTCTTCCTCACAGTAGTCTGCTTCGCTTGCTTTCATATTTCCCCTAGGTCAGACATGTTTTGAATCCTTAGTACCAATCTTATCCTCCTCAGAAAACACTCTGTACATTATCATCTGTTGCCATTTTGCAGTTAGTAACATAATGCTGTTGTAGCTTAAGTCTGGTTTCTAGACATCTACTACTAGAATGCTAATGAAGAACCTGATTGGAAAACAGATAACTATCTCCCAGGGTAACTTGGAAATATTCCTGGTTTTGAAGTTAATAATTCCACCTATTCTTGAAGCACATTTTGGAGTCAGCAGTAACCAAGACCAGCCAGTTGATACGTTTTACTGTGTGGCAGCTTGCCCTTAACCTAGCAAATCTTAGCTGTCTTACATTTTCTATCCTTACATCCTTTTTTGCTTATCTCTCCTGTTTTCAGAGGTAGCATAGCCTGTATCAGAAATTGGGATTTCTTTCCCATGCTTCCAAATTACCTAGGACTCCCCCAATTTTGGCTAGTAGAATCATAAAGGAAAACAAGTCATTCTTCCTTGACAGAGGTATTATTATTTTGCACTGTTGGTTGGACAGTTGGCCACCTTTGATCCTCCTCTTTTTGCAGAAGTCTTGGCTGAGACTACATAATGATTCTGTCTGCCTCCTGGCACCTGTAGATGGTCAGAGAGCCTTCCACCATTAGGTGGGGTGTCCAGCCTCCCAAGAACTTCCTCTCAGCTAGCCTCCAGGGAGAAGATCCAAGTTTTGCACTGTACCTTTGTTGACTTTCATTGAAAATTTATCTTATTTTAGAAAGTATCAAAAATGTCATGTTGTTCTTTGAAGAGAGTCCTTAAATTTGAGGCTTTCTTTTGTGTCTCACTCACTTTAAACACTGTCAGACTTCAAAGGGAAGTAAGATGCTGGCTGCTGAGAAGATTGTGTCCCAAATACATTAATGCCTGCAAGGTACCTAAGCCAGGACTGTTTTCCCTTTTTTCTTTATGAGCAAGAAAGTTTTTTATTTGTAATTTTAAAGATTTCTATGGAACTACAGATGTGTTTGCTATAGCTAATTGGTAATCATGAGTCTGATTTCTAACCTGGATAAGCACATATTTCTGACTCTTACAGTATGAATTTTGATAAGGGAAAGATTTCTGTTTGATGACAGGAAACACAGCCCTAATTTATACAGTAAACATTCAGTCTGCAGAGGAGCTCCTCCTCCTTGGCTGCTCCCCAATCCCACAGAGGCACCATGGTGCAGAAACAGTCCCGAAAGAGAGGACGGTCCTCTAGGAAAAAGGCATGAATTCCTTGTTGCATTTGCTCATACCGCTTTGCTAACTTGAAGGGATGTGCTGTATTTCAAATAAGTGTGTGACTTAATATTTCGGGGTGTTTTTTTTTTTTCCCTCCTTTAAAAACTGGACCTGAATACAAGGTTTGAGTTGATATTTGTAATAATCTCAGGACCTGAAAGATTGTAGCATTTAGTGTGTCTTAAAAAATTATGTACTGTACCAGCCATGGATTTTGTAAATATACCTGTCTCCCTTTTTTGTATTATTTTAGTAAAAAAAATAATAAATTTAAATAAAAGGGGGTGGTGATAATGTGCGTGGGTGTGGGTATGTATGTGCGCGTGTTTGTATAAGGCTCTTTGGAGATGAACTGGTGCTCGTTTAACTTTTGGCTCAGCTCAGAGCAGGAATATGGACACAGTGCTGCTACTGGCCCTGCACTGAGCCGAGGTATCTCCATGTGATCTTTCCCAGCGGTGGAGGTGGCTTGGGAGATCACTTTTTCCCACTGCCGTCTGGCTCCAGCCTTCTCAGTTCTGCATACCCTTACTGGTAAAGTGTCCCAGACTCCGCTGGTCTCTAGTTTTTAGAGGACTATCATCACTTTCCTAGGGAAAAAGGGCACATAAAATATTTTTAACCAAAAAACATTTCTAAAACCCTGGTGAATTTTGGGTATGTAGAGAACATAAGCATTCCAAAATATGGATCTGTGAATTTAGTAAATTAACCCCATGGATATACTCCTTCAGTGCAGGGATTTTTATTTTTATTTTTATTTTTTTTTTCTGCAACAGCCTTGCTCATATTCCAGGTATAGCTAGCAAACTCCTGTTTTGAAGCAAGAGCCTTATTTGATTCAGTATAGATGTTTCCTGTCTGTCGTTTGTGACAGGGCCTTTTACCTGAGTGTTTTTCTTTTTGTGTGTTATGTGTTTGTTCTATTAAATAAAGAAGAATGTACATACCGTTACTGTGTCTGTGGTGTTATTGGGCTAACTTGGCTTGGCATACACTTCATTCTCAGCAGAGGTTGATGTCTGCTGTCTGTATCACACTGTGCCATGCACTCAGAGTACGCGAGTAAAGGACACAGTCCTTGGTACAGTGCAGTTTGCAGCCACTTGACAAGTTAGAGTTTGTTGCAATATATGGTCCAGTGCAACCTGACATTGGAGTTCTAAGTAGGGAACTTGGAGCTGTCTGGAAGCTTGGTGATGTGGGTGGTACTTAGAGTAGGCCTGGGGACAGTCCAGAAGGCGAAGAGAGGCAGACTGGAAATACAGTTCTCTGGGTTCTTCCTGTCGGTAAGAAATGGATGTGTTGGGTGACGCTACCCAGGTCCAGGCTGGGGATGATTTACAAACAAGATCTTTTGAGAAGGCCGTAATTGTAGCAGATTTCTACAATAATATTAAGAGCCAGGTATGGGGGCTGGGGATTTAGCTCAGCGGCATAAGCACCTGCCTTGCAAGCAGGTGGTCATGAGTTTGATCCCTGGTACCGATAAAAATGAAAAAGACAAAAAAAAAAAAAAAAAAAGAGCCAGGTATGGTGATGCATGCCTGTAATCCCAACACTTGGGGGTCTGAGGTAGGACAGTCTCTGTCAGTTCAAGGCCAGCTTGGGCTACATAGTGAATTCAAGTCTACCCTGTCCTACATGAGACCCTGTCTCAAGAAAAAGGAAACTTATTTAGAAAAAAAAACTGGAAGAAGAACTATCATAGAAATCTAAGTAGAGGGTGGAAAGAATATGAGGAGACAAAAAGCAACTTGTCAGAAAAATTGAGCAGTTTGGCATTTGTGATTACACATGTGTATGCATAGAAACTAGAAAGAGTCAGGTGTAGTGGTGCCCCCAGTAAACTCAGCAGGAGAGGCTGAGGCAGGTTGAGTCTAACCTGAGCTACATAGTGAGTTCAGGGCCAGCTTTGTTGAGACTGTCTCAACAAAACAAGGACTGGGGATTTAGCTCAGTGGTGTTAAGTGCCTGCATGGTGAGCAGGAGATTGTGAGTTTGATCCCCAGTCCAAAAAAAAAAAAGGCATAATGGTGCATACCTGTAATCCCAGCATGTGAGAGGCTGAGGGAGGAGGATCCCTGCAAATTTGAGGCCAGCCTAAGCTACAAAGTTGAGTTCAAGGTCAGCCTGAAATGCATAGTGAAACCCTGTCTGAAACCAAAAAAAGTGTAAACTCCACAATATGAAGAGTGGTGGTTTTAGTACTTTTTTTCTTATTTGTCCTTTTATAAGCACATTTTCATTATATGTACTGCCATGAAAATAAATTTATAAAAGGCATAGAGGGAGGAAAATGGGCTGTCAAGTGCTGTAATATTTATGGACAGTTTTGCTAGTGTGTTCTTGTGAGTCGTAATGCTTCAAAACACTTTAAAAACATCTGAGATTAAATCATTTTACATTTAACTATATTTTCATCATCTCAAAATGTGTATTAACCTATGAAAAGTACTGTTACTAAGGCTTTAAAAATGCTCTAATAGCCGGGCATGATGGCAAATGCCTGTAATCCCAGCACTCAAGAGGCTGAGACAGGAGGATTGTTGCAAGTTTGAGACCAGCTTGGGCTACAAAATGAGATCAAGGCCAGCCTGAATGGCATAGTGAGACCCTGTCTCAAAAAGACAAAAAATAAAAATAAAAGAACACACTAGTAGACAGTGTGATGGTGCACATAGGCTGAGGCAGGAGAATCACTGAATTCAAGGCCGTTCTGGGCTACATAGTTCAGAACCAGCTTGAACTACATTGTGAGACCCTGCCTAAAAAAACAAAAACTACTAGCACAATATTTTCTACATAGTACTAAGTAAATGTTAGATTTGCTATTGCATATACTAATTTTGTTGTTTATTCTGTATGTGAAAAAGAAATTGGAAGTAAAGAAAGGTTTTTAAAAGACAGATCTAGGGCTGGGATATAGCTCAGTGCTCAGAGGTAGACTTGCTTAATAGACACAAGTCCCTGGGTTCCATCTGCAGTGCAGGGAGATGCAGAGAAACAGGTTAAGATAGGTATCTGCATCCCAAGGATTTAAGGTTTTCAGAATAAGCCGGCATTTTGAAGAACCAAGAAGCAAGTAAATAATCAATCCTGTCAGGCTAAACTGAAGGAATCCTAGGTGTCCAGGAAATAGGGTTATTCAGTGTAGGAACTGTGTAAAGAAAGCATGTTTTATCCTTCTCAATATAGGTGTGAGACCATCTCAGACCAGATCTTGGCGTACATAGAAAAGTGTGCTGGTTAATACATGGGTGTAGCCACGCATGGTAGCACATGCGTATAATCTCAACACTTGAGAGGCTGAGGCGAAAGGATTGCCTGAGTTTGAGGCCAGCCTGAGTGACAAATTGCTCCTACAAATGTATTCTAATGGGAAAATGAATTCACAAAGAGGTTTGTGTATAGGACATTGTTCATCAGAACATTGCTCAGGATAAGAGTAGTGAACAATCTAGCCTGGCGTGGTGGCTCATGCCTGTAATCCCAGCACTCAGGAGGCTGAGGTGGGAGGATTGATGCGAGTTCCAGACCAGCCTGGGCTACAAAATGAGCTCAAGGCCGGCCTGAACTGCATAGCAAAGCCCGTCTCAAAAAAGACCAAAAAAAAAAAAAAAAAAAAGTAGTGAACAGTCTAATGCTATGTGATGGGAATGATTATAAAAATAAAATTAATACTAAAGCTGGACATGATAGTGATGGGACACTTAGGTAATCCCAGCACTCGAGAGGCTGAGGCAAGAGGATCGTTGCAAGTTTAAAACCAGCCTGAACTGCATAGAAAGACCTGTCTCAAAAAAAGACCCCCCCCCAAAATTAGGTCATTTTAAAAATAAATCATGAGCACATCCATATATTAAATGAAAGAGCAGTTACAGATAAAAATATATGCATGGAAAAATACATAAGCAAACATTTACCCAAAATACAGAGTGGTAATATCAGTGCTTTCTCTTTCCCATTTATTAAAATATATTCTCAGTATGCATAACACGTTGCTTTTTTTGTTTTGTTTTTCTTTTAAGAAACAAATAGACTTGATTGAAGAGAAGGAGAAAGAAATGGGAAGGAGGCTCTTCCTGCCACATCATCATAGGAGAAGGGAGAAGAAAAGTATTGATTTCTTCTACTCAGACCCTACTAGATCTCAAAGTTGGATTTGGCTTGGAGGGGAAACACATGAGCTGCTAGGTTTAAAATAAGGACGCTTACAATGGAATATTACTCAGGGAAAGAAAAGATGCCGAGGGAAAAAAACGCATAGTATCAAGTATGCCTGTAGATATGGGATGAGAGGGAAGCAAATCTTCATCTGTCCCCATTTTCCTTCCCCTAGAGCAGCCACTGCTTCTGGTTTTCTCCAAGTCTGAGCACAAGTATGGCTGTCACTGCTGCACCTGAGCCTGCCGTCTGAACCCACATCTCTAGCAGCACCTTGTGGGTAACCTTGCAAATGAGCTCACATCAGTGCAGAGAGATCTGCCTTGTTCTTTGTGCCAGCTGCATAGAAGTCCAGGCGTGAGGTTTCTTATTGGTGGCAGTTAGATTATTCTCACAGGGAAAACACAATACCTTACATATTTGCAGTCCCAGCATTTAGCAAACAGACAGGAAAAAGTTCTTTCTGACGTGGACAATAAATGATTTAACCCTCAAGATTGAAAATCAGTGAAATCTCACGTTGTCTGTACTTGTGAACCTTTGGGAAATCCCCAAGGAAAATCTTCCTTTTTAAAAGAGTTTTGAAAATGGAAAATAAAAGCAGAAAAGTAAACTCTGGGTGCAGCAAGAGTCAAGTTACATTGCAGAGGAGACCATGCTCCTTGGGGCAGTGGCAGCCTCTCATCCCACAGGTGCGCTCTGACGCATCCAATGTGGAGTCTCAGAAACAACTGTGCTCTCCCAGTCGGTGCCTTCATATAACTTTAGTTGGTGGGTTTGTTTTTTCTGCACTTCTCCCTCTTCTGTGTCCCTGTGTGTGTCCCTTTGCCATTTCCCTACTAGTGGTGGTCTAGTAGGGAAGCATAGTTTGAAGGGGAACTGGTTGACAGGCAGCTTGGGGTCATGTGCTCCACTAGTGAAGCTGTCACTTTAGATGAGATGCTGAAGTAGCTCCTCCCGCTGCGGCGGGGCTGGTGTGTTTGAGTTAGAGAAAGGGAAGAAAGAAAGGGGCCAGCGTGTAGGGCTAACAAACAGAGGTTGCTCTCCTCTCGTCTTTTTGGTTCTTAAATTCATGCTTCCTCTTGCTCCCAGTTTTGTTTTGTTTTGTTTTTCTTTCCAAATTACAGAAGTGAAACCACAGTGTTTTAGAAATCTGATTTAGTCACTACGTTTCCAAAAACCGCTTAAAACACTTACTTCACAGGTGTTAAACCCTGGCTTAAAAACGAAGGAAAGCCAGGGATTTAGCTCTGCGGCATAAGTGCCTGCCAAGGTCGTGAGTTCGAGCCCCGGTATCACAAAAAAAGGAAAAAGTAAGGATAATCTTGGCTCATGTAGCTGAGTGGTTTTAGAAGTAACCTTGGTTAGTTAAAGGTTTATGCAGTGATATCCCTATCTCAGGCCCACTTCTGTATATTGCCACCCAGTGTCAGACTCAGCTGGGCACAGGGGTGCATAGGTGCACCCCATGGTCCCAGCAACTTGGGAGGCTGAGAAAGACCTGGGAAAATGATGAGACCCTATCTCACAAAAATAACAAAAAGAAGCTGGGCATAGTGGTGGCTCATGCCTGAAATCCCAGCACTTGGGAGGCTGAGGCAGGAAGATCTTTGTAAATTCAAGACCAGCCAGGGCTACAAAGTGAGCTCAAGGCCAGCCTGAACTGCATAGCGAGACTATCTCAAAAAGACAAAAAAAGAAAGAAAAATGTACCACCACTGACAAAAAATAGTGTCAGGTCACACAGGGAGCCCCTGATGGCCTCGGCTCTTCCTGCATAGCTAAATA